ACCTCAGTACACATGGAAGGTTTCACTGGTTACACTGGTTTAAAAATGTTTAAAGTTAAGGTCCTGTCATATGACTCGCGTCAGCATTCCCCAGTGCACTGAGCTCTGTGGAGAGAAGCATCAAGCTTGCTACGTAACTGAGCAGGTCAAGTGTGGAAACACTCGAAGTTCAAACTGTAACTTTGCCAATTTGCCAGACAATGTGAAAAAGTCTTAAAGGAGAAGTTCACTTCCAGAATGAAAATTTCCTGATAATTTACTCACCCCCATGTCGTCCAAGATGTTCATGTCTTTCTTTCTTCAGTCGCGAAGAAATTAAAGGTTTTTGAGGAAAACATTCCAGGATTTTCCTCCATATAGTGGACTTCAATGTTGGCCAATGGGTTGAGGGTCCAAATTGCTTCAATGTAGCTTCAAAGGGCTTTACATTATCCCAAATGAGGAATAAGTGTATTATCTAGCGAAACAATGGGTCATTTTCTAAAAAAAAATTTTTAAATTTAATTATATACTTCTTAACCACAAATGCTTGTCTTGAACTAGCTCTGCGTCCACGACTTCACGCATTATGTAATTACGTATGTGTGATGTAGGTAGAAGTACCAACCCAGTGTTTACAAATCGAATGAGCAAAGACTAATCAAACGCCCTTTACCAAAAAAAGTTAAAACAATGTCAGATGATTTTGAAGTTGGGAGGAGAAAATGATATGGAGTTTTTCGCCCTACCCCACCTTTTTAACCCAAGTACACATGAAGAACTAACCACGTGTGACCTTTACAACGTGATTACGCAATGCTTGAATTCATGGACGCGCATTGCAGAGCTAGTGCAAGACGAGCATTTGTGGTTAAAAAGTATATAAAGGTTTACTTTTTTTAAAAATGGCAGATCGTTTTGCTAGATAAGACCCTTATTCCTTGGCTGGGATCATGTAGAGCTCTTTGAAGCTGCAATTTGGACCTTTAACCCATTGATCGCCATTGAAGTCGACTCCAAGTCCAAAAATCCTGAAATGTTTTCCTCAAAAAACTTAA